ACAGGCTTATTTTCACGACACAAAGTAAATGTCAGCATTCCAAAGACTCGAGCTTACTATGTAGTGTCTAGTGTCTAATGAAGGTCCTTGAATCTGGCCTAGAGGCTCTCCTCTCTCCTATCTCCCATCCATATTTCTCATTGTAAATCCCTAACATAAAATAGTCATTGCATGCGAGCATGCCTCAGTCAATTCCCACAGCCCCCCATGGCTTTAAGAAAACATTTCAAACACTTCATCTTGGCAATCAAGAGCCATTTTTCAATGTATTTTGCTTGCATTTCTATCATAGCACTTAATACAATGTGCCCATACTGTTTGAGAATACCTACATAGCTTATGAACTGCTGTTGAAAAAAGGTTATCCTAATCAGCAGCTACTCATGTCAAAATAAACTATATTTGTTGGCAATCTGTTAGTATCACTCACTATAGTAGGCATGGGTACCATTTGCCAAATATTTCTGGTTCTCTACCATTCCAGGCATGAGGTAGGACAGTATTTTCTCATCCCTTTGTGGTTGGATGGAACTAGTGACTAGTTCTAATCAATGAGTTGTAAGTAGACATGATTTGTGTCACTTCTTGGTCAGAACATTTAATGGCTGATGGAGGGCCTCCAGGATCTCTTTTCCCTGTCTTGGTGACTGGAAATGTTCACCACAGTGACCATTCCAACAGCTGGCATCCCAAAGTGAATATGATATGCAGAACATCTCTGTTGATCAGGGATAGACATATAGCATAAGCAAAAAATAAAATTTATCTTAAGTCACTTATATTTAGAGCATCCTACAGAATGTTCTGAACATCCTACAGAACATCCTACAGAACATCCTATCCTTACTGTTAAAAGTGCTATGATAAATACTTTCACATATATTAGTTGACGTTCACTATAACCTGTGGGTAAGACAGATGTGAGCAATATTTTATAAATGAGGTTTTCAAAAGTGAAGAATTTGCCCAAAGTCAAGTAGCTTTATGCATTATTTCATTGAACAAATATTTATTGAGCACTGCTTTTTGCCAGGTAATATTCTCAGTAGTCAAGGTATTAGTAGAGAACAAAAGGAAAAAGGTCCCTGCTCTCAGAGTTTACGTTCTAGTGGAAAGAGACAAGTAAAAGAATCATTTATAAATAAGAGAATTCCAGATAATAATATGCATTACTCAGAGAATTAAAATCAGGTGGTATGACAGAAAAAACAGAGTGGCTATTTATATTGACCATGGAAAGCCTCTCTGAGGCTTAGGCTAAGAGGTAAATGATAAGAGAGCTCAACACACAAATACGAAGAGAAAAAAGACTTCCATAAAGGGCAAGAGTTCATGCAAAGGTCTTAACAAACAGAAAAAAGCTTGTTACATGGAGAAAAAGACAAAGGTCAGAATGGCCATGTCATAATGGACAGGGAAAGAAAGGGTACAAGACAGAAGGGAAAGAAGGAAAACCACATAGGGTTACACGTTGAAATAAGAAATAGGGATTTGATTTCCATGTAATGAGACACTAGATCAAAGTTTTAAGTACAGTTGTGTGACTTCTCTTTTTTAAAAAAAAAAATTGCTCTGTCTGCTATGTGAAGAATGGGTTATGGTGGAACAAGACTGGAGCAGAAAGTCAAATGTGATGGCCATGGCTGAAGTTCACTAAGATGTTAATAGGGGATTTAGACAGAAGTGGACAGACTTAGGACAAGATGTAAAGGGTAGCATCAACAAGACAAAAGCATGGATTGAAAGTGGAGGGGTGATCTGCCGGGCGCGGTGGCTCAAGCCTGTAATCCCAGCACTTTGGGAGGCCGAGGCGGGCGGATCACGAGGTCAGGAGATCGAGACCATCCTGGCTGACACGGTGAAACCCCGTCTCTACTAAGAAATACAAAAAAAAAAAAAAAAAAAACTAGCCGGGCGAGGTGGCGGGCGCCTGTAGTCCCAGCTACTGGGGAGGCTGAGGCAGGAGAATGGCGTGAACCCGGGAGGCGGAGCTTGCAGTGAGCTGAGATCCGGCCACTGCACTCCAGCCTGGGCGGCAGAGCGAGACTCCGTCTCAAAAAAAAAAAAAAAAAAAAGAAAGTGGAGGGGTGATCAAGTGTAACCCCTGGGGAGAGGAAGGAGTTATTTCTAAATTTTTGGTTAGGAAAATTGGGTAGATGGTGCTTCTGCTGGAATGGGAGAAATTGGGAGAAAAGGAGGTTTGCAGAAGTGGAAAGAAATCAAGTTCTGTCTTATCCATGTTAAGTATGAAATTCCTACTAAGCATCTATGTGAATATGTCAAGTTGAATATATAATTCAGAAGTTCAGGAAAAAGACTGGAACTGGAGCAATAAATTTAGGAATTGTTGACATAAAGATAATATTAAAGGTCTAAGATTGATGAAGGCATCTACAAAGAACCTATAGGTAAGCAGGGGAAGGGACCAGGGCAGAACCCGTGGGTACTGTAACCTTTCAGATGTCAGCAGCAGAAGAATAGCTGGGGACACTGGGCAGGAGTGACAAGTGACAAAGAGGGAAAACCAGGAAATAGGATAGCACAAAAGCCAAGAGCAAGGTGTGGTCAGCCCTGCTAAATGCTGCTGAGATAAGAACATTGGATTTAGCAAACAGAGTTCATATATGACCTTGATAAATGTAGCCTCTGCACAATGGTGAGTATGGAAGTCTGACTGGAGAGAAGTGAGGAGCATATGTGAGCTGAATAAATGTAAGGTGAGGACAATAACCACAGGCAAATTAAGAAGTTTTGTTGTGAGGAAAAGCAGAAAAATAGGGCAGCAGGTTGAAAGAAATCTGGGATCAAAAGAAGGCTTTTTAAAGAAAAAAAAATCCTCACCTATTTTATGACCTATGAAAGTCCACAGTCCCCAACAAGATTTCTGAAATTCCTGAGAAGAGGCAGTGATGATAATGATGTGTGTGTGTATTAGTAAGTGTATGTTGGTGAGGGCAGCAGAAAGAACTGTAACAATGGTTACTCAATAACGGTTACCTCTGTGGTCCCCACATCCTAATCGCACTGGTATCCTTTCTGTTGTCCACCATGTTAACTTACATTCTAACAGGAGAGGGAGGGCAGTTCTCATGAGGCATTCAGGGTGGGAAGACTTTATTGAAGATTTGAGGGTAATGAGGAAAACTCACATAGCATACTGTATGGCAAAGCAATTTAAAAAACCTCACAAAAAATATTTCTTCTCTTAAAAATCCTTTCAGCTATCCTACTATTGCATGGTTTTCACCAGCCCTCTGTCCTCCACAGCACCGAGCCTTCTGCTCTCCGACTGGTTCCTCTCCGCTCCTTTCTTTCTCTCTTTTGTTCTGTCTTTTGTGTTCCTTCTTAGGCACACACACAACAAAACAAAAAAAGTGTGTGTGTGTGTTTGATGTAGCCTTTTCCTGCAGAGGTATTATTTACTCTTTTCTGTGTAGGAGGGAGAAGGGCCCTTGGGTGCCCACTGATACCCGCACCGTTACCTTTTATTCCAAACAATGTATTTCCCTTTCTAAAAGTAATTCTGGAGCCAGTTCTTAAGATAATACATTTTCCATCTTGTTCCATATATAAACCACCAGACAGAGCACCTGTCCTATTAAGGCATTCGACAAGTGCCAGCTCTTGCCTTCTTTCCTCAGTGAGGAAATCCGAGCACAGACAAGTATTCTGATAGAATTTCAACAAGGTCTTCCACACAGCAGGGCCTTAATTAATGTTTATTGAGTTGCATAATGTGGTGCTCTTGGGCTAGGAGGATATTCACTGGCTTCTTCTAATAGGGTTAAAAGAAGTTAAGAGCTGCATTTACTATTAAGAACAGAGTGATAGGCCCTGTAACTTTACAGCTTTTTAGAAAGTGTTTGTTTATTGATCCAAAAAATTTTGATCCTTTAAAACATTGAAATCCTAGCACACTATGTTTATGCAGTCTCTCTCTTCCTTTCCTAGGAATATTAATTATAATATGTAAAAGACAGATAAATGAGATTTGATCTTATGTGGTCCTCAGAAACCTGCATCAATCTCAACTCTCCAGTCCTTCACCCAAAGAATGGTAACTTACAAATATACATCACTGGCAAAGAAATTTGGACACACTAACATGTGCCCTTAACTTCTGCGACTTTTTGCACTTCTGAAAAGGTCATTCAGGAAAAAAAAGTACATTTAAAAATAGCAGTATTATATTCTGGGTAAACAATCCAGTTTTTATATGCCAATGCGATTGGAACAAAGAGAAAGATGCCCAAAAGTTACAACATGATTGAAACGTTGGGTTCAAGGGACCCTTTGCTTATAACTTGCAGATTGGGTATTTAAACACATTTGGTCCAAGAGAAGAAAGACTTGGAATCTTCTACCACCCTTATCCAATTTACTGTTCATGTCTGTATGCACATGATTGAAAATATATTGGAAAGCCAAACCAAATGCCCCATAAAACCAGCACTACTCCAACAGAGTCAGTGACCACTTTAGTGCTAAGGGATATAGGAAGAAGCGGGACACAGACAATAAGCATATATTAATTAAATATAGTTTTGACTGGCTCCCATAAACCTAAACTTTCACCACCAAGTGCTCCCTGTCACCTCTTTAAATTTCATCCTTGTCTTTCCCAGTGGGAACAAAGTACATTTTCTTATCTACAAAAACATCTCATCATGATGAAATGAAAATAATTGAGACTTTCTATTTTTAGAACTAGTATATCTAACTCCCTCAGTGTTACTATAGGCAACTGAGACTTCAGTTTCAAATCACATACCCATGTATGCGAGCACACACACAGAGGCAGAAATATTGGGAGTGGAAATCAATTATGCTGACAATTTTTTTATTATTGCTTTTTTCTCAAATGGTGGGGGTGAAATAATAAAGAGAAGAACTATTTAGGTAAAAATAGCACTTTGTGCACTCAGAATTAAATGTAACAACACAGACATGGTACAGAGAATGGATGAATTAGAAAAACAACACTGCTTCTTAAAGCTCACCTGTACAAGAGAAGTCATCCACACGAATGTATCCTGGGACACAGTCACAGCGATATAACCCAGGAAGGTTGACACACACAGTATTGGCATGACAGTAATGCATCTTAGCTGCACACTCATCAATATCTGAAGGAAAAGAAAATTAAGATCATGGTTAGTAAAATAATGGAACAAGAGTGTAATCATTTTGCAGATAAATTACAAAAGGTGAATGTCCACTGAAGCCAAGAGAAAAAGTAACATGCATTAAACACAAAAGCTTAGGTGAAAATTCAGCTTGGTGCATTAGATCCCATCCTGAGCTGAAAGTGTTTCTAGAACGATGCATGGTGAGACAAAACAGGTAAGAGTCCAAGAAGTATGAAGACTGAATTTACAACTATTAGTTTCTTACCAGGGAGAATACTCTTTTTAATGTCCAAATTCAAGGAGTTCTGTGTCCACGAAGTTGATATCAATGAATATTTATTAGGTGTCCACAGTACATGGTGTAGCTTTTATCAGCGGGATCAAGGGAATCCAGTCCTTCTCTGCTTGTATGTCTTACTAAGACATGCTTCAATCCATATGCTACAAAATGATGGTGTAGCCAGTTTCTCCCATGTTGTACTATGAATACAGACAACTGCTGTTGCCTGATGCAAATTAATGTCTCTCATCCTTTGACCTGGGGCTCCTCCCCATGTGATAGAATAATGAGCTGATTCAACAAAAGATCTTGTTCTTTTTGGGATGGAGTTCAGAGTATCACCTGCTTTCTCATACAAGTTCATGATAGGGATTAAAATAACCTACAACCTTAAACACAGAGTTTAGCCTTTTCTGGAAATTGTTTTCAAACACAGATTTATGTTCCTTTTACTCAGACTGCTTGTGTGTGATGGTTAGAGAAAGAAGGACATGAGTACATCATGGGAATCCAAGATAGAAAATGTGAGCTCTAGTTCTGGTTCTGCTGATTTATAGCCTATGACTTGCATTCAACTACTCTGGGTCCCAGTATCCTCATCATTTTATTCCAGTGGTCAAGTCTGAACCCAATGTTTTGGATCTGTAAAGACATTATCTAATTCAATCCATATGCAATCCCATGAGCAAAATACAAACACTACTCCCATTTTATAGTCTAGAAAACTGAGGCTTAGAGAAGTTAAATATCTGGCACAAAGTCATCCTGTTAGAACATGCTAGACCTGGGATTTGAATTCAGAAGTTATTTACTATGATTTACTTCATGAAAGCTTCTTGAAAATGGTGATTAGTCAAATATAGTATTTCTATTACAATAATCATTGGAGCTTTAATATTATTAATGTACAGAAGCTGAGGATAAAAATGGCTACATTGAGTCACTAGGAAACTCATCAATCTATTTATTTTAAAAGAAAAGTAAGTTGATTTATTTCCGAATAAAATACATTGAAATAACATCAGATTGTTTTCACAGTTAAAGATCTGACAGCCTATAAATAAAAGTTATTGTGAGGTCATTGAGATCTGAGAAGGAGACCCACAGTTAGCAAGACTTTCATAACTAAGAAATAAGAACAAAACACCAGAAATCAGTGGAATAATTCAGGCAATCAACTTCCTGCAGGCCAATCACTATCTCAGAGGTTGCTTCCTGGGGAACTCAACTTGTACCAAGAATCCTGATGAAGGCAAGGAATTATTACAGTCAGACCACTGGAGTCCAAGAGCTGGAAAACTAAAAGAAGGAGTCATAGAGTAGTGTGGTGACATTAAGATTTTGGAAGTGATTTAGTTATTGTTGCTTATAAGGTCTTTGGTAGGACTATGAAAGGCCAGGTGAAAACAGTCATAACAAGTGAGAGGTTGGAAACAAGAAGAAGCCCTAGGTATCAGAGAGCGCTGCTTGACATTAGTGTGATGTTATAAAATATCATCAGTTCTCCTCTCTCTGGGCACATAGCACAATTGTATTTCCCCATCCTTTTCAAATTTAAGCATGGTTTAAATTAATCTCATGATTGATCATGAAATCTAAGTGGAAGCAAATCACTTCTAAGTGGAAAGATTAAGAGCCAGCATCCAGTTTACCACATTTTCTTGTTTCTGCCTTGTAACCTATGGAAGTAAAGACAAAGAGACTCTTTCAACCTGGGCCCCCAAGTGAGGAGCAAGCCACCAGGCAAGCACCATATACATGTTGCATGAGCTAGAAATATGCCTTTGTTGACTTAAGCCACCATGCCTTCCCTGACCGGTGCAGAGAATGACTATAAAAGTTATCTCAAAAAACGATATCATTAAGCTTCTTCTTGAAAGATGAACAAGAATTCATCAGGTAGAGAATGAAGGCAGGGAAACTATAGAGGCTAAAGTTTTCATCTGTCGAGTTAGAAATGGAAAGAATCATTTAGTAATGTACATTCAAAGAACATTAGTTAGCCTTCTACTAAGCCCAGAGGCAGAGTGATGAACAAAATGCCACATAGACCTCACAGATGGGCAAGGCATTGAGTGAAATGTGTAATAAATTCTACCAAGGATGTGAGATCTTTCAACAAGGGGAATCTGACCTACTCTGAGAGAGTCAGAGAAGGATTCTCTATGATAGTGATGGTTCATCTGAGACATGAAACAGAAGTGAAACAGGCCCAGGGAAGAGGAATAACCTACTAGACAGAAAAGAATGTTTGAGAAGACTTAGTTACAAAAAGGAGCTTTGCCTATTTGAAATGAAACTGGAAAAATAAGCTTGGGCCAGATCCTGTGTGGACATTAGTGTGCTGTTCATAAAATATTACCAGTTTTAGATTCTGCCCGGCCTTGCGGGCCATGTGAAGGGGCTCAGACTTTCATCAGGGTAGTAACACAATTCAATTTCTCTGTTTTTAAAATATCACTCTGGCTGTAGTGAAGAGAATTGATTGGAGCAGGGCACGCTGAAGGCTAAATCATGTTGGTATTTTACTCACAGAGATACAGCCACACTGAACTCCATCTCACTCTGCTGGGATGCCCAGCCATCCTTTAAGATGAGAAACTAGTCAGGACTTGCCTTAGAGGCAATTCAATCTTCAGCCCATGGGCCACAGCTGCCAACTAGCCTGCTGACTGCAATGAATGTTTCCCTGTCATGGACCCTTGTCAACATCTCCCAGAGAAACCTCCTGGCTCATTTCCCTTAGGATATCACCAAGCTGCTGAGAGGCCTCCGCCTCATCTAGATTTAAAGGAGTTACTTGGCTATAACAGCTTATTTTGAATCAAACTAGCCAAGCTATTTCCTTGTTTCATAAGACTGCAAGGCCCTGAATAAAAATATTTTCAAAAATCAGACAAGGGATGGTTAGAAAACCCCAGTGAGAATTTTTCACATGGATTTAATCCAACCCTTGCTCTCTACATATCATTGAGACCCCGTGCCCACACATCCCTGCTGCTCTGCTGATGTGTTCTTGAGTAAGTTTTGTTTTCAGTTTATACCATTAGTAATTTCAGCTCTTGTATATCTAATGATTTCCTGGTACTAGTCCAGAAAAAGCACTGTAATAAAGATGAAAAGTTGATGAATGTACCAGAAAATTAAACTGTCACAATCTTGCCTTCGTTGCTTATTCTTTGTCATGTAACCACCAGATATAAAAGCTATCTTATGGTAAAAATGGTGGGGAGAGGAGAGAGAAAGTGAAGTGGTGTAATCCAGCTGACTCTCTTGAGACAAGAAGATAAAAGAAAGAAAGGAATTGGCAACTCTCATGGTTTGGGGATGGGAACAGGGGATGGAATGGCAACACGTTTGCCAAAAGATTGCCTCTGCATCCTCAGGGAAACACACAACCCAGAAGACACTTTCAGTAGGATTTAAGGGTGTTTCAAAAGCAAATCTGATTATAAACAGAGTCAAAAAAGAATTAACATCTTTAGAGAGCTGGGCTATCCTGAGAAAACAATCTTCAGAAACAGTGAACAATTGAGATTTTATAAATGAGCCTAGGACAAATGCTGCTTTTTGTTCACAGAAAAAAGGCTCTGAAGGGTATGGAATAACTACAAAACAAAAATTGTAAGTCCCTAATGAAAGAACAAACGGACATTTAAAGAGAGAAACTGAGTTAGACCAAAGCTATGAGTATGCTACCCACAGGCTTGTAATGCAGTCTGACCTTTGCCCAGGTGGCAAGAGTGCTCTCCTGAAGCAGCTATCTTGAGCAATGGTCATATTCATCCAGAAGCCAGGAGACAAGAAGAGGCTAAGCCTGAGGCTGAATCTCAGAGTGGAAGTTGAACATACACAAATCCAGGCTCACGCTAAAAATCTGAATCAGTCCAGAAAGCTTTGCTAGGAAGAACACAGTTAACCTGACATCTACTGAAATGATGAATTATTTTAAAAAGCACATTGTTAGGCACAGGCTGATACCAATATTCTAACAGTCTAATAGTACATACCTTATAAAGGAAAACTAGGAACAGCCCCTGGCAATTGGTAAATACCCAACAAATATCTGCTGTTTTTTCAATATCAAGCACTATGCTAGGTATTTCATATGGAGCATCTCATTATTTCATTTATCTTGACTACTTGTGGTAGGTATCTCCATGCCATGAAACGGAGGCTCAGAGATTATCAGGTCACTTCACTTGCCCAAGTACAAAATCAGTAAGCATAGAAACCTGAGTCTGAATCCAAACAATATGACCCCAAAGTTGTCATTGTTCTCACTGTGCCAGTTTTAGCACTCGATAACATTTTGATGCTATGATTATGTTAGCTGTAGCTGATGTTTATGACTATGATTATGTTAGATGCATCACGATGTATATGGAAACAAATAGATCTCTAAATTCTATATCCGTGTGCAAGACCATTCATGACATTTGTTCTGGCATTACATTCTCCGTTAAAATGGCAATTCTGCTCCGTGCATCACTGCTTCCTTGGCTCTTTTAAGTCAAATCCTTATACTTTCACACTTTAGGCTCCAGTGACCCAAGGCCCCAAAACAGGCAGAAGCATTTTGCTCCCAGCTGGAACTCACAGATTGACACGGCCTCTACTCATATTGCTTGAGACCATGGAATTAGAAAGGAGTAAAAGAGTCCTAAGGTTTTTATTATTAAGTATTATTAGAGAAACATCTATAAGCCCCATTGCA